TCACACAAAGTTAATGCCTCTTTCCTCGAGTCGATATTTCAGTATGTACACAAAAGTATGCAGCGATGGAAGACGTGCATAGATGACAAGATGAAGCGTCCTTAGCATTATTTTGCAGAATTTTTTTTGATTTGTTTGCAGGATTTATTTTAATTGAATTAATTTGCTCTGTTAGAGGGGGTCGTGCCAGGATCTCGATTTCGGGGGGGGGGGTCGTACCTCTGCGACCACGTACTCGACACGATTTTCACCCTGCTGCGGCCTGTCGCAGTGGTAGTGGAAGGTGCACTTATGGAGTATTTCATTTAGTTGGACGTACGCTGCGATTAGGCGACGGTTGTCGGTCTTCGTCGATTAGACGACGTTAAGCAAGAGAACACTCCATAAAAGTGCGCGACAAGGGTAGCCTGATGACGTTGACGCTGGCGACGTCCTCATACTTTATCAATACTCCTTCAAACGTGCGTTTCTTTCCGTTTTTTCACATCTCCGTCAAGATCTTGCTCTCCTCACTTTCTTTACTCCTCGCTATTGCGCTTGTGTCTTCCTTTCGTGCGCAGAGCCAACTTCATATGGTAAAATTAAGTATTTTTCTAAGGTGTTTTCTGTGCTCTTCCCCATTGATATTTCCCCTTGCAATTCTTGTCGAATTTTCAACAAAATACGAACCAATTTGATTGCCACCCCTGCCTTTAAGTGATGAATTTTCGTATAACTTCGTTTATGGAAAATCATGTTTTTGCGACTGTTTGAACATTGGCTTTTATTCGAATTTGAAAATCACAAGTAGTAGAAAAAGCACATAAAAGAAGTATTTTTAAATCTGATTTAACTGACCTTTTATTATTAATAAAGCGATGCGGTAAAAGGTGACTTTCCTGGAAAGTTTGATTAGCTCGAATTTCAAGTAGATACAAACCAAGCTATCTATCGGAGCAAGAAGTGTTATCAAGGACAATGGTGATGACCACCTCATTTTTGTTTATTTATCTATTTACTTATTTTAGCCGCTGCTAGCAGGCAGACGTAAAAGCTGCAATCACATATGTTTTTCTTATTATCCCTACATTAGGCAAAATAATAGCTATTCAATAACACATATATATAACTTGCTTGTCTGCTCCTATCGTATTGTTTATACAGATACAAAAACCTGTAGGAGTAAACGGTTAGGGTTTTTCAAGAGATAAACTTGTTAAGGCATAATGGTCGGCATCATTGCCTTGCGCTAAGAGGAGTATTCGCTAGTGCCCGAGTGTTGTAGCGTGAGCTAGGTTTCTGCATTCAACATTGCTAATGCAACGATTTATCCCTGAAAACGTCACTTAGATCCCCCGGGCCGGTAGTTTTCCATCCAGGGGGCGCTGTCACTCCAAAGGATCGGCTGCCCCACCTCCGAAATGTGTGCGTGGCTGGCATAACGTGTGAAATCAGCTAGGTTGATTGCCGTATCAACCGATAGAACGACTGACATCTCCAGAAAACTTGTTTGTACGTGCCTCTTTCCCCAAGCCAGCCTCCTTCACTGCTAGTGGGAAAGAGGGTTTTGTTAACGGCCTTGTCGACGGTTTTTCTCAGTTTTTTCTCCACTGTCGTTCCACTTCGCATCTCTATACTCAGTTTCAATCGCCATAATACCCCCTTATTGAGCGTATTTGAGCTGCGTTTTGACTTTTGCCTTTAAGCCAGCTCTAGAAGTGAAGTCTCGCGAGTTTCAAGTCTTGATTTGGTAAGTTACTAAGAATCTCTCCGAACGAACCTCTCTAGTCTTTTTTGAGGTCAACTAATCGATATATTTACGAATTTTGGATGAAGTCAATTCTTTAGATACCTTTTTTATTCACATGAATTTTGAAAACCATAAAAGCATCATAGTATGTTTCAGCGCGAGAACTCTTTTTGTTTGAGATATATTGTGCCAACTTTTATTACATTTCTTATAAATGTCGAATTGAATAAAAAAATCGCATCAAGTGACCGGTAGTGTGGCTAGAATGAAGGAGAAACTTCTACACTCAATGTCAAAAATCCGTAATAACTTCGTATAGCATACATTATACGAAGAGTATGCTGTGTTGTGTGCAGCTACTCACGTACAACCTCCGGGCACGGGAATTACTCCTCTAGCGCGGCTGAGCCCGACCTTTGCCTTTAACGTTTATCTCTTGAAGCCCATATGCCGTTTACTCCTCAGGTTTTTGTATCGTTCAAACAAACGTAGGGCAAAGAAGCAGTTATTGTGTTATTGAATAATGTGATTATATTGTTTGATTGTATGGATTGTGATTGCAGCTTTTACGTCTGCCTGCGAGCAGCGTCTAAAATAAGTAAATAGATAAATAAACAAAAATGAGGTGGTCATCACCATTGTCCTTGATAACACTTCTTGCTCCGATAGATGGCTTGGTTTGTATCTACTTGGAATTCGGGTACTTTTCCAGATCATCTTTTCCGATCCGATTTTTTCACTAATCAAAGAGTCAGTAATTTGATTAAAATACCTTCTTTTAGTGCTTTTTCTTACTTGTAGCTTTCCAAATTCGAATAAAAGCCATATTTCAAATAGAGTGATTTTCCATAAATGCATTATTTTGTAACAAATTCATCACTTAAAGGCACCGGTGGCGATCAAATTGGTTCGTATTTTGTTCGAAAATTCGACAAGAATTGCAAAGAGAAATATCAGTGGGGAAGAGCACAGAAAACACCTTAGAAAATACTTAATTTTACCATATGAAGTTGGCTCTGGCACGACGGGAAGACACAGCGCTGCGAGGAGTGAGAAAGTGAGGAGCAAGTCTTACGGGAGTGGGCGTAGAAACCACGTTTGATGGTATTGATAAGTATGAGGACGGTCGCAGCGGTCGAACGTCATCAGCTCCCTTGTCGCGCACTTTTAATGGAGTGTTCTCTTGCTTACTCGTCTAATCGACTACTCGCCCGATCGCCTAATCGCACGTACGATCGCCAACTATGAATACTCCATAAGTGCGACACTTACACTACCCCTGCGATCAGGAGTCCTGCTACCTCACTCTTTCCGGAGATCTAGTCGCGTCCGGTGCTCCCGTGCCTTCAAAAGTTCTGCTGCTGCAAGATCACCTTGATGCGCTGCGGTTGTAGATAACAGTCCGACTCTGATGGTGAGAGGCTTATCACCAACTAGTGAAGGAACTCGAACTCACCTCATTTCTGAAGCTTCACATGACCAATTGCTGAACTACTTACTCAAAACTTTTTGAGCTCAAACACAAACTCAAACAAAACAAAGCTCAAAACAAAATAATCAGCTGATATCAGTCTGCAGTTTGCTCGGTAACCATCTCTCTTCCTTCGGCAGAAATGGATATTTTGTGGCTATCCATCCATTCTACTGGGCTGAACACCGAGACTAAGTTGGGGATCAGGTGGCGCGCACGATCAGGTGATGGTATCGCGGATAAGCCAACCACTGCTTCCCAGTTGAATGACTTTGAAGCCCATCTTAGCTCGCCTCCTTCGTTGGTTGTAGAGGATATAATAAATACTTGTAGGCGCGATGGTGGCGACTTGAGGGCATCATTATGTAGAGAACACACTTTTGTTTTAGACCATAATTTACCCACATTTGACTGCAGTTTGTTTGATTTATTATCGGAATTGTTGTAGCGCACCTAAGCGTGCACCAAATAAATAAATAAATAAATAAATAACACACAGTACATCACCGCCGCCCCCCCCCGTCCCCTTCTCGATGTTACGGTCCTTCTAGGACTCTAGCAGACAAGCGGGAGAATTGGGAGAAGTGGGGCGTATCGTAGGGCACCTCGCGTTTTCCCTCTCCCCAAGTCAGTACCTTATTCTACTCTCCCATTGTTACACCAGGTTGGCCCACAAGGGAATTGCCAAAACGTATGGGGAGCGGCATTGCTTCGCGTACATCATTAAAGGAATCTTGCGCGGAAAATTCTTGCACTCTTTCCTAACATGAATATGTCAGTTGTGATCACTGGAAATAGCACACAAAGTTTCACGCATGAAGATTCGGTTTCTGAAGAGAAACAAACGTACAAAAACTACACGTTATGGACCATCGAAGGACCAGGAGGCAGAGCCAGGCGAGCGAGGCATGGAAAGAAGACGAGCGAGTTGGCGTACGTACCTAGGGCTGCGACGCGCAATGGAGAGAATCGGGTTAAAGCGCGCGATTTCGGAGAGTGGAGACAAATCGATCGATGGAATAGGATGGAGTAGAAGTGTAAGATGTGAATGCAACGAAGCAGAAGGCCAGAAAGAGCTTCTAGTGAATGCACTCCAAGAACCAAGTTTGAGCATCCCCGTCGCCAGCATTCGTGAAAGACGTCCGTGGGCAATTCGAACGCGTAGCAGCCTTTTCGAGTTTTCGAATTTCTAATCAAAACGAAAGCAATACTTCAGTTCTTTTCACTATTATCGTGGATAATGAGTCTCAAGCCAGTGATTTATGGCTGAAATAGAATCATGATTTTTCCGCGCAAGATTCCTTTTAAAAACGGCGCTAAACATCTTTCTTTGTTACAAGCGCGACTACCACATTTAGAGGGGGTAAGTTTAGATTCCATGGTTCTTGAGTAGGTCTCAATTCCCACGACATTCTTGGCACTTCATGGGCTTGATCCGAGGGGATGTCCCTGTACCTTGATTTGATAGCGTCACTGGTAATGCTGTGACCTGGTTGCGTGTAGAGCGGAATGCCGGGGGGAGGCGGAAGGAGGGCACTCGCCCCGTGCTCCTGGTTGATACGGACGAAGATGGCATCTGTTTCTGTGGATTTGTCCGGTGTTACGTAGTGTTTACAATGACGTCGCACTATCGGTAGAAGTTCTAGAGAGAAATAAGCTTCGCTGAAACAGAAATTTTTTTGCGGCAAGTTCGCTGCGAAAAATGTACAAACAAAAACTCGGGTGATCGTCTGACAATTTCCCACGGCCATTATATTTACACACATCAATAATTGGGTCTGATTTCAGGTTGGCGGAGAAATGCCGGTAGGTGAATGTGCCGTGCTGCGCGATCGACCAGCACTACGTCTCGATTCCCGTCTTGTGTGTAAATATGAAATACTATCTGTCATAGGAAAAGGCAGCTTTTCACAGGTTCGTTTGTCGGTTTGGGAATTTCCTTTCAATCTTGTGTCAGACCAGATATAAATAGCTATTTTAATGTCGTATTTCATTTGGCACTGTTCACCATTTCCTGCCCGGATTTTAATCGAAATTTGTCCATGTAGTTTGAAGGCATGCCCCAGGATCACATTGGTGTGGCTCTTGCACACGAATGCGAATGTATTGGTGCGAAGTGGGCCGGCAGTAAGAAAAAAGGAAAAGAATCCGTCAAAAACGCTTAGGTTAAGGGCTCACTCACCTTCCTAATCGGCTGTGCTAAGGGAATGAGAGACTAAGCGCGGAGAGGAGAGTATGAGGCGAGAGAGCGCTACAGATGAGAGAGCGCCAGACAACAGCCTGATAAGAGAAAAAATCTGCAGCTTCAGCAGCTTACTTTGCAAGGCCCAAGCGCTCTTGTCGGTTGGTTTCCGTGCACGGAACGCCACATTTGTGATTGTCCTCTAGGGTCTATACTACAGACCGAAGAGAAGCGTTCACACGACCTCTGCCTGGTTGTGCCTTTAAGGCATTTCGACTTGCACAATACGAATATCTTATCAATTTTGCACGGAAACGCCTGGCGCCTGCGGGCAGACGTCGGTGCTATGACATTTTGCTCCAGCCTTTCTGGCGCAGACTGCCAGCTCACTCGTAACGAATTATTGTGACATTCGTGTTCTACTAATCGAAATATTCCTGACGACAAGCTTCCAGCGAATTTTGACCTGTGTTCTAGCTCCCTGTAGCGTCGGCAGTTGTGACTGGGCCCTAGGCGTGCGCTAAACGAAAGTGATATTTGTGTTCTTCGTGTCGAATTACCTTGACAGCAAGTTCTGAGCCAAATCCACGGTAATGGACAAATTCCAATAAAAATCCGGCTTACCATTAGTTCCTGAGGAATGGAGCAGTGAAGGGTAATAGTGCCATTCACTTCACTACTGCTTGTCATTATTTTAATATTTCAAACGGTGTCGTATTTTAGGTAATGCGGGTGCAGCATCGAATCTCTCGGAAATATTTCGCCGTAAAGCTTGTCTCATCCGATTGTGGTTCTGTAAACAACGAGCTCAATATTCTCAGCCGCGTTTCACATCCGTTTGTTATACGTCTAGAGGAGGTTCGTTTCTGTCTAATCCCTTTTCTGGAATTTTAGTAATTTCCATCTTTCTTTCTTTTTTTACATGAGCTGTGCCTTTTAGTTAAAAGAGAACACTGCGATAGGTTGATTTTTTACAGTCCCTCGCTTGAAGCCACAGTTAATGGTGGGCGGGGTTACTTAAACCCTGCATGCTCCCATTGGTGGGCCCCGCCCTGTGCAAGTCATCAATGGGCAATGGGTACGTAACGCTCTTAGAGGCTCCGCCCACGCGCCTCTGTCCTGTATCTGCTTTTCAAAAATTAATCAACTGAATAAACTTGATGAGGAAAGGAGCTTGCTTTGAAAAACGATCTTATTATTGATATTCGTAATTAATTGTTTTTTTGATTTCTTTAATCTGTTTTTTTATTTAATGAAAAGTTCCATTAAGGTGTTCAAATCGTCCTCGAAACTGTTCATTGTTATGGAAATGGCTAGTGGAGGCGAAATGTACGAGCGAGTGGTATCAAAAGGCAGGTGAGAAAACTCGATATTTCAAAGATTTCTCGTAGGAATCCAATGAACTAATTTATACGGTTTTTTTTTCAGTAAATCGTACTATCACTTAAGATCCATGTTCTAGAAAATGTGTATTATTTTGCAGGTATTCTGAATCAGAAGCACGACAAGCGTTGAAAATGCTGCTCAACGGTCTCGCCTACCTTCATTCATTACGGATTACACATCGTGATTTGAAACCAGAGAATTTGCTCTACAGTGATACGAGGCCGGATGCGAGGTGAATTTTTAGTCGTATTTTTGTTCTAAAACTAGGGTCATCCCTAAATTTGTTGATGTTCATCTTTATTCTATGTAAAAAGCGATAAAGTCAAAATCAGGCCTTTCTCACAGGTGGCCATTTTGAACCTTTTAGTGAGGAGGTTCTACTTCGGACTGCCCTGCTAACGGCTGCGATACTCAGGGACATATGCGAGCAGTTGTTAAAGAGGGTGTTAAGTGAAATAGTCTATCACACGAGGCTCAATGAACACAAGTTGTGTCATGGTCGAAGATGTAGGGATACGCTCGGTGATGCAGAGTTATATGCGGACCCATGCTGGGCGGGACCTGCGCACTACGACCGCAAAGACCGAAATGGTGCTGGTGTGACCTGTTCCCCCGTCAACAATATCATGTTCTCTTTGCTTACTGCGGGGGGGTATGCAGAATCACCTCGGAATGTTCACAGAGAACATTGTGATTCATCGTGTGTCCGTTACATCGCCTGACCATTTTGCTGTGGCGCACAGGCTATTGACAGTCGTACATTCTATATTATGTAATTTTGTTAACTGGGAGCTACAATTGGCGGGAAATGGCAAAAGATGCGGCGGGTAACGGCATCCCTGTGGCGGCAAATAGTTTATTGCCAGCTTACTCAGCATCTTGTGGATGTATCTTTTTGAAAGTGGGTATCATCTAGAAGGGTGTAAAAAAAATGAGCGCATCGGGAGAAGAGAGAAAGAGTAAATGGATAGGGTGGATGTCTATTCCATTTTTCTTGTTTTTATGGACAGTTAGGTAGATGCGCACGTGTACATCAAATATATATTTGGGCCAGGTGGGGCAGGGGGGACATTCGTGCGAATGTGGGTTCAGGGTTGTGCCCTCCAGATCAAATTTATTTTCGGGAGGTCGTTTTTGTACTTCTTATTTCTCACTATTAAACTCAATGAAAAGCAAATGCGAAAGTTGAGTGGAGACTTAAATCAATGAATTTTCTAGAAGGCCTGTTGACAGGGAGTGGCCCGGATTGATCTTCAGCAGGGTTGTCGGTTTCCATATTTCGTTTTTCTTTGCTGCATGCCGAATGTGCTATATCTTGCACTAGAAACTTAACTTTTGTTGTTAAGTTATTTAATCACGTGGATTTGGCGCCTGGGGCACAAGGTCCAGCGGCAACCTTCGCAGTGGCCGTGAATGGAGACAGTATGAACAGAGACGTTGTGGCACACTCGAGTATCATATATGCAGCAGAATTTGCACTGCTGCGGGGTACCGTCCACTGAAAAGTTTGGAAGACCGATTTTTCTTACTTAGTTTTTTTTTTAACTTGATTATCATCCAGAATTCGGGAGCAGTACCTTGATGTGGGATTTAGGGGTTCTCCGAGGGTTCTTTACGAAGCTTACTGAGACACACTGAAAGTTGGGTTACATTCACTCTGATATTCTGGCTGGCTAATAATTAGCTTCAGTAGCGGTCAAAAGTGTTCGCCGAAACGGTTTTCCGTGCTTCTTTTTTTGCCAGAAAAAATCAATGGTGACCTCGAAATTTTTTCTTTTGAACATCCTGATTCTTTAAGGCTTGAGGATATAAAAACACTAGAAAACATAGTATATCAATCTTTGGAGGGCGTTGCTCAAGCGAGAAAAATAATGCACTGAAAATCGTTTCGGCGAACACTTTTGACCGCTACTGCAAACGGGAAACTTGATGGATGCAAAAGGGAATAGAAACAAACCGCTCAGTCTACGAAACTGAATTTATTCAAATTTGAAGTGAATTTGAATTTGGTCTGGATCGCTCCGAAAATCCCATTGGGAATTGCTTTCCTTTTATTATCAGTCTCAACTCGGGCATTTGTGACCTATTTGTTAGTTAGAATTCGCTTGACTTTGAATCCTATGACTTTGAATCGTGTAAACTTAAAGGCAAGATTCGGGATAAAATAGGTGTGGAAAAGCGTTCAGTTATGAAGCTAGAGGTGGGAGGTGGTCTGTAAAAGAGAAGGAAAGCAAACGAAACCACCGATTACGCCCCGCACAGAGACCTCCCCTATTTCAGCCGCATTCCACCTTGGGATAGAGAAGGGGCGCGTTGGACGAGTTTCACGAACCTAACTCTAGTTGCTCCAGTGCCAATAACATTGGGTCGCAATGGGACCGCTGCCTCAAATGCGCCCGCGCAAGCAGCGCCACGTGGCAACCGACAGCGGAGGGTGGGGCTTGCGGACGAAGGTGTGAGTTGCGGGTCGGACGAGCTCCTTGCGCCTTTGTCGCGCACTTTCAAGCGGCAAAAGGGGCGCGACATCAACGCTTGTCCGCCTGTCTACTACCCCCGGGATGGAACAGGCGAGCGCGCCTAATCCCGGAGCGTGCCTTTAAAGGCGCAACTCAGTTAGGTGACTGATATGTTGCGAGTAAGCTCGTAGGGAGCGGGAGTCGATGCGAAATAAAAAGTCCTTGTGGCATGGGATGCACTACATACGACGTTACTAGCCATCAAACCGTATGGTCCGCCCCGCTGTTGGTTGGTCCCCATCGCTATCACTTTCAGGCGTTATGGGTCCCCGTGGTGCTCTCTCGGTCCGTCTATCTCACGCATCGGCGCCCATATCTCTAATCATAGGCACAAGCATAAGCCAATGTGTAGGCCTAAGCCTAACCTCAGAAGTTTAACCTTAGGTTTTAATGATGGTGCGGCTCTGTCTAATGGGCGAGAACGAAGTCTCCCCTAATCTCCTCGCCCATTAGACAGAGCTGCACCATCATTAAAACCTAAGGTTAAACTTCTGAGGTTAGGCTTAGGCCTACACATTGGCTTATGCTTGTGCCTATGAT